TGGGCTGCTACACCATGAAGTTCCCTCGAGAAACTATGGTGCTTCACCACCTGTACAGAAGCACGTGACACTCCTCTTCACTGCTTCTCCTCACAGCTCGAGGAAAGTGTGCTGCTGTGGAAAGTGTTACTTCCCAGTCGTCTGGTGCCCCGTTGCCGGTCTCTGATGCCAGCCTCGATGTGGCTGTGGGTGTCGGAGTGGAAGGAAGTGCATCCCCGGCTCCCGCACCTCAGCCTCTCCTGCCTGCCTCGTCTCCTGTCGAGTCTCCTGTTGTGTCTCCTGTGGTGTGTGGTCTCGTGACTCCGAACGTCGAGGCTGCGCCTCGGCCTGTACTGTCTCCGGCAGCTGTGTCTTCGACCCGTGTCGACGTGCACACTGTGATGTCTCCTGCGGTGTGTGATCCTGTTCCCCAGGTTGTTGAGGCTGCAATGTTGAGTGATCGTGCACTGCGGAGAGTGGCACGGGCAACCAGCGGTTCTGCTACGGTGCTTCCTAGCGGAGGTGATAATTCCGACGATCTGCGACCTGTGTCCAAGCGTTCGCGGCAGGCTTTGAGTCTGTCTCCGCCTCGTAATGCGGCCTGGGCCGACGTCGGGAAATTTGAGGACTCCGGGAGTTCGTCTTCTGGGGATGGTGATGTGTGCAACGCTGTTGGAGTGCCTGCGGCTCCTGTGGGCCGTGTTGCAGCAGTGATGTGTCCTGTGGTGGGATTGTCGCCTGACCTTGTTCCGGTGTCTTCTCCGGCTGCTTCCGCGTCACCAGTTGCTGGTTCCCCGGGTTGGGAGGTTGTGGCACCGGCCAAGATTGCGAGAGAGGGTAGGGGCTTGGTGCCGGTTCTTACAAATGCTTCTGTTCCGGCGGCCTCCGTGCCTCTGGCGTCCATGTCTGTGCCTTCCACGCCTTTGCCCTCTGCTCAGTCGTCCTTTGTTACTCCGTCCCCTGTGGTGTCGGCCCCTGCACCATCGCCCTCTGTGATTGCGTCCCCCTGCGACTCCGCCCGCTATGTTGCCGGCCTGTGTCCAGCCGACTCCTGTGCTTCAGTCCCGTGTGGTTCCACCGTCTGTATCAAAGCCCTCTGTGCGGCCTCTTCCCGTGCCTACCGCCTCCGTGGTGGAGGGCACCGAGCTGGTTGTTCCTGACTTCATGCGTCGCCCGCGAGGGTCACGTAGTCACGTTAACGTGCCTATGGAAATGTGGGCTCAGTGGGATGCCTACAGGAAGAAGTACCCGCGTCGTTTCTATCCAGATAAATATGAAGATGATTGACTGTGTGTGTGGTTCTTGCTTTGTGTTGCTCTATTTCTTTCGTTGTTTTGTTGAGCTATGTGATACGGGTTCCTTTTTTTTCCTGTTTTCTTACCTAGCTGGGTTATAATGCTCTGGTGTTTTTTCTTTTTTGCCTGTATTTCATTGTTACCTATGTGTAAGATTCCATTTTTGTTTATGCTTATTTACGATTTGTTCTATTATCTGTGTCCTATTTACTGTGTTCTATGTTCCAATGTTGGTTTGTGTTATACCGATTCTTTATTTCTTATTTTTTATTTTGATATTTTACTATGTAATGCAAATGTGTTGTTTCCTTTGATCTATGTACTCTGCTGTGTATTGCTTTGTTGTATTCCATTGTTATTTTCCTGCATTTTATTTACTATGTTGTATTTCCAGTGTTATATTACCATGTTCTATTATTGTGTTCTCGATTCTGTGGTGTGTTGTCTGCTGTTGTGTGGTGTGGCGCATGGCTAGTTTGCTGTTGTGTATATGTGTATTCCTTGTTTATATTTTACCCTTGGTTTTATTGTGCTCTTTGTGCGCTTTTGTCATTCCTGAGGCTTTTGGCACGCCCCATCTGGGTAGTGCTGCTTTGTTTGTGTGTGTGTGTGTTCTTTTGAGTTTTATGTTATTCTTTGTTTTCACTTTTGTGTTATGTTTGATCTGTGTTACGTGTTATGTGTTGTTATTCTGCGTTCTTTGTTTTTCTGTGCTTTCCTGTTATATGGTTACTGTTCGCTGTAATTGCTCTATTTTAAAAATAAAAAGAAAAAAAAACTTGGTATGCTGACATATCTGTGGACCAGACAACAATATCGGACCACTTGGGGGGGATGACGTATCTTGGGACCAGGCAACAATACAAGACCACTTGGTGGTGACGTATCTGGGGACAAGGTAACAATATCGGACCACTTGGGGCGACGTATCTGGGGACCAGGCAACAATACCAAACCACTTGGGGGGTGTCGGGGTGCTTGCCTAGCTCTTGGTGGAGGCGGACGTGTCGCCTGTGAGCTCCTGTTTTGCTTGTCAGTGGTAGTTTGTGTTTGTGAGTGGGCCCTTTAGGCCGTGTCGGTTGGAGGGATGGCAGCCCCCCTACCCCCAGTGAACCTGAGGGTTACCATTGGCCTGGAATTTACTGGACCAGCGTCATACCCGGCTGTTGAAGTGGTCATGATTGATATGTTGCGAGTGAATGTGGCATTCGTGTACACCATTCAACTTGTATCCGGGCATAGAGCTGTTGTGAAATTCAGCTCCACGGCTGTGTATCGTGACTTTGTGGACCGCTATGATGGGAAGATGTTTACTATGCCTGAGGTGGTGGTTCGGTGGAAGTGTCGAACAGATGCAGTGAAACTACCTATGTGGGAGTTTATGGTGCTCCCTTCGAGTTCCCTGACTCCATGGGTAAAGCGACTCCAGCGTCACTTCACCCGATATGGGCTGGTCTTGAGTGTCCATATGAATGCTGTCTCCTCTGGGTGGTGGACGAGTATCCCAAATGGGACCCACACAGTGGCGATGCAATTGAAGGACTCCATCCTTTCGTCTCTCCTGCTTCTGGGCTTCATGGTACACATATTTTATGTAGGTCAGCCCCGGACTTGTTTCCAGTGCAGGCTATCGGGCCACCAGGCTGGGGGTTGTGGGGCAAGCCGGGTTGGCCCTCTGAACTTTTTTAGGGAGGAGGACTTTGCCCCGTTGGCAGTCCTGGACCTGTCACCAGGTGCTGCTGTGATGAATGATGCTTCCCGGTCGTCTGGTGCCCCGTTGCCGTTCTCAAATGCCAGCCTACATGTATAGGCTGGTGGTGTGAGTGTCAGGGTGGTAGTGCATCCCCGGTTCCCCTGCCTCAGCCATGGCCGCCTGCCCCCATCTCCAGTTGTGTCTCCTGAGGTGTGTGGTCTAGTGCCCCCAGTCATCGAGGATGCGCCCCGGCCGTGCACTGTCTCCGGAAGATGTGTCTTCGGCCCATGTTGACGTGCATGCAGTGATGTCTCCCGCGGTGTGTGGTCCTCTTCCCCGGGTTGTTGAGGTTGTGTTGTAGAGTGATCGTGCACTGCGTGGAGTTGTGCGGCCGACCAGAGGTTCTACTGCGGTACCTCTTAGCTGGGGTGATAGTTCCGACGAACTGTATCCAAGCGATTTCGGCGAGCTTCGAGTTTGTCTCCGCCTCGTGGTGAGACCTGGGCCGACGTCAGGAATTTTTGTGACTCTGGGAGTTCGTTTCCTTTGGATGGTGATGTGGGCAATGATGTTGGGGTGCCTGCGGCTTCTGTGGGCTGCGCTGCGGTGGTGATGGGTTCTGTTGTGGGATTGTCACCTGATCCTGTGTTTTCTCCAGCTGCCTCTGCATCCCTGGTTGCTGGTTCCCCCGGGTTGGGCGGTTGTGGCGCCGGCCGCGGTTGCGGTAGAGGGAGGGGACTTGGTAATGGTTATTAAGAAAGATTCTGTTCTTGCGACCCCCATGCCTCTAGCGTCCTTGTCTGTGCCCTCCGTGCGTCTGTCCTCAGTGCTGCCAACTGCTGCGCTGCTGCCCACTTCTCAGCCGCCCTTTGTTACTCCACCCCCTTGTGGTGTCAGCGTCTGTGTCATCGCCCTCTGTGATTTTGTCCCCTGCGACTGTGCCCGTTGTGCTGCTGCCCTCTGTAGGGCCAGCTTCTGTGCTCCAATCTCTCGTGATTCCACCGCCGGTGCAGCTGAGCTCTGTGTGGCCTCTTCCCGTGACTTCCGCCCCCGTGGAGGGGGCGGAAGTACTTCATGTATCGACCGCGGGGATCGCGTCGTTACGTTTCCTTGTCTGCGGAGGTGTGGGCTCGGTGGGATGCCTTCAGGAAGAAGTACCCTCGTCGTCTATTTCCGGATAAATATAATGATGATTAACTGTGTGTGTGGTTCTTGATTTGTGATGCTTTATTTACCTGTTTTGATGTGCTGTGAGATACGGTTAATTTTGTCCGTGTTTCTTGCCTGGTAATGTAGTGTTATAGTGCTCTGGTGCTTTCTCTTTTCAGACTGTTTAAATGTTACCTATGTTTAGGTTTCCATTTTATGTGTATTGTACGACTTTTGTTTGTGTGTTTGTTTTGCTGCTCTTCAATTTTGTTCATGTGTTTCTTGCCTTGTAAATGTGAATGATGATGTTCATGCTTTTCTATTATGTAGTATTTGTGTTTACAAAATAAAAAGAAAAAAACATGGGGGGTGACATATCTGGGGATCAGTAAAGATGATGGATGAAGGAGACCTTCCCCTCTTATATTATAATAATATTTGAACTGACAATTCATTTTCAATATAGTTCACACTACTAGAGGAACTCTACAACTGTAAACTTATTATTTCTCCTTGGTATGGGAACCTTTTATAAGCATTTTAGTACAAGTAAAAGTTTTTACATTAGTGCTAAATATACTGTGAGTGTCTGTCTTGGGAGCGCAAGTCTTCCTCTCATCTCTCTCTTCTCCATCTCTATGTTGTAACTAACAATAAGGTAAATGACGATAAATAATAAATTTTTAAACACTAAATAAACAAAATAAACATAACAGTGAAGGAGGTCAAGTAATGTTCGGTTAGTTATGGGGTTAAGTGGCCCTTGCCTGCATTGTTGATATTGTCAATGGCCACTTCTGGCGGCGGCATCTGGCCACTTGCATGTTATGGTCGTAGCGTCAAGAGTAACTAGCATCTTGGACCCCTGTTGAGGAGTAGCCAATTACAAGCCAGGAAGGAACTGTTGCTGTGGACTTTATTAACCAATGAGAAGCAGTGTGGTGAGTATAAAAGTGGGAGTTGGCGCCGAGGTGTGTCAGTTACCTCCTCACCTCCACAGTAAGACGCTCTATTATAGTGAAGGTTTGTGTTATTATGTTAAGTATTTTTGGTAATAATTAAGTTTTGTTGGTAATGATTTTTAGGTAATAATTAAGTACTATGGTAGACGTTGTATAGTTAAGTGTTTCATAATCTTTGTAAGAATTGTTTTCTAGATTATCATCACGTCCACACAGGTGACGTCCTGACAGTCAAATCTTTATCAATTGACTAGATTATGCACTTAATTAGTATAACATTACTAAACAAATCCATGGGATCTTATAGATGTAGGTAACTACGTGGATAATAACCTCTAAATTCATATCCTGCTAAACTGCTACTAACTTAATAAAATAAAATTTTAAATATGAATATTTAGTGTTTAAGTTTTCTAAAATTTTAAGTTATAATTTGGTTCCGTAATAGCACTAAACTTTCCTTGCTCTTTGAGCTTACTTGTGGATAGTATGAAGTGGTTTGGATACTGTTCACTTAATGAAATACATGAATTAAACGTGGAAGCTACTATAATTGTTACTTCAAAGTGAAACTCCTAACCATCCATAACAAAGTTTTATTAATAACTTTGCTCAGTCATTACGTTCCAAACTAGTCGTCACTAGAGCAGTTAAAACCTTACGACGCCTCTCCGAACTATGAGTAAGTTGCAGACTAGTTTGAGTGACGGGTATTGCAAGGAAGAATTTAACACTACATTTGTAATTTAATGTAGCACCTTCAGGTATACCACTCCTGTTCCTACTAATTTCGGTTAAACCTTGTATCAAAATTACATTAAATTTTAAACTATAGGAAAAACTTGGCTAAAAAATTATCTATTCCTCATGGCTCTAAAGAAGGATAACCACCCTTGCCTTCACTAGATAAGTCTACACACATTTTATTGATGCTACTATAAATATTACGTATACAAATCTCTCCCTTGCATCCTTAACTTTCTATTAAACGCTTGTGAATCTTTGCTTAGTACTTAACGAAACGCTGTTTAATAAATTGTGCATAAAGAACAGAACTAATCCATTAACACCTTGCCTTCCATTCACATTTCATACAATAATTTTCCGGTGGTCGTGCCAGTGTGATCACAACTCGCCTCCAGTGAGGTATACTCTGCCTTAAACGTGCTCTTGTAATTTCACAAACCGGAGACCAGGTGTGTAACATAGATTATTGTACTGGTAATAGTGCTGAACCTGTCAATGAAAACTTTTTGATGAAATAGCCGACTCGCCGTTTACGTAACTTCGATTAAAGGTAATTACTTTAAACATTGGATAGGTATTGTCAAGCAATACATTATTTGTGAAACTTCACTATTAACATCTTGTCTAAAATATACCTATTAGACTTAACGGTAGCATTGCTCGTCTTGCAAAATTATTTGACTTCCAAGGTAGGTTTTTTACTTGCAACTTGACGATAGTTTTAAATGCTAAACTTCTCTGTCCCACTAAACTTCCACTTCACACCGTAAATTGAAATGACTTGCGTTTGTACTGATAACTGTTCCCGGCCACACGTTGTGGCTCTGCAACTCTTGTGAGTTTCTGAGCCACGGTAACTTTCCCGTCCCCCAGTCCTCTCCCACTATTACCACCTCCCCTGTCCTCTCATCCTTCTCACTATTCCCTCACTCCACCATCCCCTCGTCCTGCCACAGTCATCCTGTCCCCCCTCTTACTCCCCCACAACTGTTCCTTTGTCCTTTCCATTCCTCCTCGTCTTTCCCTCCATTCCCCCACTCCCTCGCCCGATGCATTCCCAAATGATCTGATGTTCATATCGGTGAAAAAGTTATAAACGATAGGTAAATAAACCAAAATCAACGGTATGGTAAACGCTGCTCTTTCAATGCAATAGTCATAAAAACTAATAGAATAAAAATAAATCTCTAAAAATTAAATTCATCAATGCAATTGTAAAAATTGAAATGGAATTGTAACATAATTAGTTGAACTTGTGGAGCACTTATGAGACAGATGGCGCTGTTTAGAAAAAAGTTTTTACCAGTCACAGATGTGCCGTCTATATAGTTGATATATAAACGCACGCCTATTCAAATGCAACTGTCAAAATTTAAAAGCAATTTGTAAAGTTTTGAAGATTTCCCTCTCATGAAAGTCTCTTCAAAACTTTTTACGGTAGGATTTGATATTTGTGTATAAAAACCTGTTCGGATGCAAATGGATCGTTTTGTGAGAATTTCAAAGCCATTGGTGAAGAAATTTCAGATTAGTGGTTTTGAACAAACGATCTTTTCCATTTTTATTTATATAGATTTAATACTCATTACAGATGGCTGCTATAATATTTCTGGTGATGGCGGCGGCAGTGATGCCATCCTGGGCCCAATACTTCGTTAATAACAACGCAGCTCCCGCCATCTTGGGAGCCACTGACAGGCCATTCGTTACCTTAAGTGGAAACCTTTTGGTACCTGAAGGCGGCCCCACCCAACCTCCTCAACCTCCTCAACCTCGGCAACCCTTCCCACAACTACCAGCCCAACCTGTGTTTGTTCAGCCACAACTGCCAAGCCTGCCTCAAGTCTTTACTCCTCAACCTCAACGAGTATCTCCCCTATTGACTCCCTTTACCTTCCGTCCAACTTCATCTTTATGCAACCATGCTGCTAAACCCCTGGTAAGAAGTTTTATTTTCCTTTCATATGGACCAATTTAAGGTTAATTGGTAATTAAAATGAGCCTTCACATAATTTTTTGTGGTTTATCAGGTTGACGAGGTAGTGGACGGCAGAGCATACCACTTCTCATGGTGTCACGACTCTGGTCGACTCTACACCTGGGAGCAAGCAACCTATTACTGCTCTGGGCTTGGCAACGGTTTCCAGGCCGTCAGTATTGAAAGTCTCAGGAAGCAAGAGTTAATTTCCAACTATATGATTACCCGTAAGTTGAAAAGCTGGTCTGGGTGTTTAACTAGGCCTTGAGTGACTAACTTGGACGTAATGAAAATGGTATAATTTCAGACTACATCAGCGACATCTGGACGAGCGGCAACAAACGTAACTCGAGGTCTTGGTCGTGGTTATCTGGCACTTCCTCTCCCTACTCTAACTGGTCTAGCACCGGCAGGTGAGAACTGGTTTGTTGACCGTAAACAAAACTATTGGTGTTGGCTGGTAATGATCATGGCCTTGAGTACCACTTGTCTTTCCCAGGCGAGGACTGCCACAGCCAGACAACGATGAAGGCAACGAGGACTGTCTGGCGGTGTTAAACAACCTGTACAACGATGGTGTCACTTGGCACGACTCCAACTGTTTCCACCTGAGGCGCGTCATCTGTGAGGCTCCACGCTTCTACGCTCAATAGTTGTTCCCCATCAGTTATCATTATTGTAATATTATAATCAATGGTTTAAACTTCTAACTCTATCGATTGATACAAATTAATTCTAGAGAGAATAAGATTCTATTGTGTAGTAATATAAATGCTATAAACGCATTATGTTTTATTTCTCTGAAGTTTGTAAACACCGCCCATCTTACAAATGTGGTATAGAAAAGTGTGAGGGGCGGCGGCAAAGGGGATAATGTGTCGATGTGGACACCTTAACAGTTTTTTTTTATCAGTCTGGTTAGATAGCGTAAGTTCTGATAGGCTGCCGTCCCATACCAGCTAGAGGTCGGCCGATAGCGCTGAACAGACTGTAAGGCAACCTGTTCTCACTAGGCTGTTTAAAGCGGTGGCAGTCTTCCCAAAACGTATTCCTTTAACTTTAACCCCTATCAGGCAATATAAGGAGAGCCAATCGCCTCCTTCCTTGACAGGCAGGAGGGGTAGCAGTAGTCTTGGTCACACTGTATGTGATTGGGTAAACTATGGGCTTAAACTTCCCTCCCACTCCCAGTAACAACCCTTATCAGAACCGTTCGGGACTGTCATGCCATCAGTGACCTTTTTCTCACTGTGCCCTTTTATACTCGCCTGCTAAGACGGTCGGGAGTGCCATCCAGGGTTATACAGTAGAGGTGTAACCAGACATACGTCGCCATACACGATATCTGAACTGCTACTGAACTTTAAGAAGCCCGACACGAGGTACTTTCGCCCTTATATAGGGCGAAAACCAATGGTAGGTGTGCACTGCAGTCATAAGGTACAAATTTTGCGGACATAACCATTACCTTACACTTTTAAGATATATTTTCACACACACATGTGTTGCATAATTCAGATGGGGTTTAAATCTGATAACAGCTACTCCATTGCTTTTACAGACCAAATTTAAATACCATGGAGGCCAGCATCTTCAGTTGAAATGGCTGCATTTTTGTTTTCAATATTTTTGCCTCATAGTGGCTGGTCATACGGCTCTGGAATCATTAAATCCTATACATCTTGTCGATAGTTCAAATCAAATTTTGGAAAGTTCTGTTCACCACATTGAAGAATGTTGCTTGGCTAGATTCCCAACAATTTTGTTCACTTGAATGAGTGAAATTACTGCTGCTAAGGAATCTGTTTACACTTGACCTATTTCCCAGTCTGTCCTTGGCGAATTTATGCCAAGTCGTTCATTTCTCGGGCAGAGACCATTGACATTATCGCGTGAAATTGGGTAACAAATTTCGTGGTTTTTAAGGGTAGCCTGTACCCTCGGCTATCCTACCTCCACCGTAATTGTCACTAAAACGACTTTGGCTAGGTAACCGTCTATATTCGTTTAACTTCCAGGCACTTAATAGAACACTCCCTTGCTTCTTGGTCCAAACGGCATTGTTCCACTCGTCGTGCATATCATTGTTGGAAGTCTAAATTTTTCAGAACATTAGTGTCTAACCAGTTTAAAAATTAAAAAATTTAAATTTGCTAACCATTCCTTGTGGTCGCTAAATATAATCCTCGGTGATTCTGATATTGCTCGCCTTAAGTGCACTTGTATAGCCTCGGTGAGATGTAGTGACAATTTAATAGCCATTGACAGATACTGCTAGCCTTGCCTGAATGGTGCACACTTTTAATAATTACTCTTCCCACCTCCCTGTCTGGCTGGTTGTTACCGTGGCGGGGCTTGGTGGGCAGCTGCTAGTGTGATGCTCTTTAAGACAGTCTGTCTGTATCCTTGTGCTCCTGCTGCCGTCCTCTAATTCTGCTGAACACCTTTTCCTTTCTCGTTACTCTTTCTCACCCCCCCCCCCTCCCCGCTCAGCTCCTTGTCGCCGTGTGGGGGCTTAGTGGACAGCTGCCGGAGTGTGATGCTCCTTGGGACAGTCCTCTGTCCTTTTCTAGCCTTGTGCTCCTGCTGCCGTCCTCTCCAATTCTGCTGGGCATCTTTTCCTTTTCCTTCCGTTTCGTTTTTTTTCTATCTGCTTGCCGTTTCCTGCCGACCTTTTGCTCGTTCTGGTTCTTCCCTTGGACTTCTTCTATTTTGACGCCCAGGTGCTTGAGGAGGTATACTCTTGCACCCGTAGAACTGTAGTACCCGACGTCGAGAGCGAGGGGAACCTTTTATTGTCAATCCCCCTTTCGTCGCTGAACCCGATCTCGATGGACTGACGGTTCTTAAGGTGGCGTTTGTGGGGCGTATACTAAAGACGCACCCCTAGGGGGCCCCGGCATGATCGGCGATAGCTTCCTGTTGGGTGTCCTGCCTCTAATTGTGGCTCCATGGTGGGTATGGGGGCACATTCGTGGATGAATTTGTCACTTTTCGTCTCTATGTCGTTAAATGTTTCCGTTGTACCCTCTCAGGCTCGTGGGGTGGGCGACCAAGCCCCCGAGTCGGCCTGTATTGGAAGACCAGGCTCTGTAGCTCCCGCTGCGTTGGGCCCCGACCTTGCTCCTCCTTTGACCGTCCTGACTTCTTCCCCCAGCTCCCCTCCCTCCTCTGAGGTTGGGTCGAGCCTCCAGCCCCCGGTGGTGACCACTTGTCCCCTGGTGTGGCTAAGTCTTTCGTTGTGACTACTGCGCCTTTTGACCCCTCTCTCTCTAGGGGTTATCAACGCCGTTCGCGCCCCAACCGCGCTCGCTAGATTCCTTCCCGTGCTGATGCGTATCAGGCCTTGTTTGGTCCTGCTTCATGGGCCAAATATTTTGATCTCCTCCCTCTTGATTCTGCGCCTCCTGACGATTTCTCCCTCCATCGGCATCTTGTAGATAACGTGGATGCGTGTTACTTTTAACCCCACTCGTCTCGGTACACGTGCCGTTGCTGCTCATTCTCAGGATGCGGCTTCCCGCTTGGCTGCCTTATCTTGCCTTGGCGAGATCCCTGTTCTGGTCTCCAAGAACGTTCAGATAAATTCCAGTGTTGGCACTATTCTCCTCCCACCCCATGTTGCAACCGGTGTTCGGAATCTGCAGGATTGCCACGATGATATTCGGCATATCCTTGATGCCCAAGGCCATTCTGTCCTCCAGGTTGACTCGTTTACTCGTCCCCCCCCTCGTGGTCGTCGCCGTCAACCCCTTCGCGTTGTGAAGATCACCTTTGGTAGGACCCTTCCATCCTCTGTCATTCTTGCTGGTGCTAGGTGCTCTGTCCAGGAGTATATTCCTTCTCCTCGACTTTGTAATAAGTGCTGGAGGTTTGGGCATGGTGCCCTCCGCTGCTTTGGGACTGTCTCTGTCCTTTGTGTGGGAGTGAAGGTCACAATAAGTCAGAGTGCACTTCTCCCCAAGCTCGCTGCCTCAACTGCGGTGAGGCCCATCCTACGTTCTCCCGTGCCTGTGTCCATTACAAGCTTGAGGCGGCCGTCCTTAACCTGAAGCACCGGGAGCGTTTGTCTTTTCCTGAGGCGAGGCGCCAAAGGTTCGCCGGCTCCCGCCTTATAGTAACATCTCTTATGCTCGCGTGTTGCGCTCTTCCTCTCCTCGTCCTTCCCCCCCTTCCTCACTCTCAACCGTTTCCGGGCCTTGGACCCTGATACGCCCACTGCCCCCCTCCTCTGTTCCTTTCAGTTCTTTCCCGAGGGGTCCCCCTCCTGGTCCTCTGTCTGGGGTTCCCCTTCTTTCAACCCGGTCTGTCATGTCTCCTGTGTCTTCTTCCTCGTCCCCCTCCGATCCTCCTTCCCATCCTCTTCCTCCATCTATCGGCTCTCCCTGTCGGTGCAGGCGGATGTCCATCGCTCTCCCAGTCGGTGCAGGCGGATGTCCATCGCTCTCCCAACGGCCGTCGTGTGTGCTCTCGTTCGGCTTCTGTCGAGACACTGGAATCCGTTGCCCGGTACGCAGTTGCTGGGACACCTGTCTCAAGTCAGAAGCGTTAGCCTGGCTACTCTCCTTCCTCTTCCCCGGCGGGTAAGAAGGCTTCGCTTTCTTCCTTAGCTCGTACTTCTGGCTCTGTTGCTCCTTCCCCTCCCGTTTCAGTGGTTGCGCCCCCTGTTCCTGCTATGGAGGTTTCTTTGGCCCCTGCTTCCCTTTCGGTTGCTGCTCTTGCTGGGGTGCGCTCCCCTCTTTCTACTCCTCCTCTTCCTACTGCTGTCCTTGACTGCTCCTCTCCGTTGTCTCCTCCTCTTCCTCCTCCTCCGGACCCCGCCCGCCCACCTCTCATCTGTTCTCCCGTTTCCTTCCCTCCGTCTTTGCTCAGTTTACCCATGCCCCCTAACCCTGACTTTGCTGACCCTGATCCCGACCCTGATATTCTTTAACGTGCTCTGTTGCTCTTTCGCCTTTGTTTCTTCCTTGTTCTCTGTTTTTGTCCTTTCTCTTCTCGTCGTTGTCCATTCTTCAATGGAACGTTCGAGGTTATTACGCCAATTTCCTCGAACTACAACTTCTGATTTCGCCATTTTTGCCCCTTTGTGTCTGTCTCCAGGAGCCAATGCTTGGTGCTCGTCCTGGTCGTTTTCGTGGCTATTCCTTTCTCTCCCACCCCCCCCCAGCCATTGCTGGGGGCTTCTAATTCTTCTGCTCTCTTGATTCGTGCAGATGTTCCCTTTGTTCCTTTACTTTTTCCTTCGCCTCTCCATTGTTCTGCTGCTCGTATCTTTGTGGGGAAATGGTACACAGTTTGTTCCATTCATCTCCCCCCGAGTGTCCCGCTCTCTCTTCCTGATTTGAAACACCTCCTAGACTTCTTGCCGGAGCCTGTGCTCCTGCTGGGTGACTTCAATTGTCGTCATTCTCTTTGGGGTGACGTTCTGACGAATACCCGGGGTCGCCTCCTTGAGCCGTTTCTCCTATCTTCTTCCCTGTTTCTTCCGAATTCTGGTGAGCCCACTCATTTGGACTCTCGAACTCGCACCCTTTCTTGTCTTGATCTTTCTCTCTGCTCTTATTCTCTTTACTTAGATTGCACGTGGCAGGTTCTTGATGACCTCCATGGAAGTGATCATTTCCCCATCCTTGTTTCCTTTTTCTCTTTTCGCCCTTCCCTCTCTTTCCCTAGGTGGCAGTTTGCTAAGGCAGACTGGACCCTATTTACCCTCAGTGCTGCTCTCTCTGACCTCTCCCTTCTGCCTCTCTCTTGCGCTCTCCTCCTTTTTCATGACACTGTCTTC